CCATCAACTTGTTAGTTTGCGATTCCAGTTAGAGTAAGATTTTGAAACTTGTCACTGCGTGCGTACAGAATAGCATAAAATCATAATTGGAGATGTCTGAATTTCTCTCAATAAATAATTATATTTATCAAATTATTATTGTGGTACAAAATTATGTAAAAATTTTGATTGATTAATTATACTTTTCAATATTACATACAATGTATACTACATACATTAATTATACTTTTCAATATTACATACAATGTATACTACATACATTATAATGATTTCTTTACAATGAATTTATAATTTCGCGCAATAAAAATTCCTAATTTGCGTGATTGTTCAACAGTAATATAATTTGATTAAGATTATTTCTGAGTAAGAAATTCGGTGTTTGAAATAAACAATCAGGCGAAAGTGAAAATTTTAGAAATCAATTGCTGTCTGCTCGTAAATCTGTATTTTTCTATTTTAGTTACACAGATATGCTTTGATACGGTAGCAATAACGTAATATAATATTCACATTATGAATGTAACATTGTAATTTATTTAAAAATATTCAGTTATGATAATGATTCTTATTATTGGAGATAATTAAAACAGCTGACTGATTAATTTATTATTCAATGTAATCGTACCTTTCTACTACATGCTTCGATCATAGTGTGATCGACGAAAATTTATAAAATATTATGATTATCTAAAATATATCAAACAATTAACAGACGTCAATAAGTTGGATAGCTATTGAAATATTAATATTTAAAAGAATCTCGCGATTAATAATTCAAAAGACAAGTTTCACGAGTTTTCATGTTTACGTATCGTTGAACAAAACTAGCATTAATGTCGCGGCTCATAGCAGTGATTGTCAAATGATTCAGAAAAACAACGCTGTTATGCAATCAAAAGTACATCTCCTAATTTAATTAAATCGAACGTTGAAAACAACCTTAATCCTCGCTCGACTATTAGAAATAATGTAAAAAAATTCTAGCGATTCATTCAGAAACTTCTCATTCGTTACACATAAAAACATCATTAGAATCCCATATTCCACAATTTTATTTAAATTACACACAAAATTCGACATAATAATTCGGACAACGCGGAATATCCACAAGATATTCCGAAAACGAAGAATTTTATTTCTAGAGCCGAAGAACTTCCAGATGAGATTGGATAATTGTTCTAATACACGAAGCATGTTACGATACTTGTTACTCTAATTACTTGATACTCTAATTACTCTTTTATAACCGATCTCGCAAATGTCATCCTATATGAACACTGAATCCTCGTTCTTCACGTTCGAATGACTTCATTGACATATACGAGCACGTTGAATGACACACACACATAGGGAACTTCGAACGAACGACAGAAAACTCGATTGATCGTTAATTGGAATTCGTAGAAAAGTTAATTGTAAATTAATACGAAACACGTCGACCGTTTGCTTCAACATAGTCACGTGACTCTATCTCTATCTAAAATATATATATATATATTTTTTTATTATTTCATTAATTTTTATAGTTATTAATTTACAAAATCCATATTTGTTAGGAGATCCTGATAATTTCAAAATAGCAAATCCTAAAATTTTATATATATATATATAATATATAATTTTAATTTATAATTAATTTATAAATATCCTAAAATTATGTATATATATATATATATATATATATATATATATATATATATATATAAATATAAAATTTTAGGATTTGCTATTTTAAAATTATCAGGATCTCCTAACAAATATGGATTTTATAAATTAATAACTATAAAAATTAATAAAATAATAAAAATTGAAATTAAATCTTTAATTTAATATGGATGAAAAATAATTTTATAAATTTATAATTTTATAAATAATAATTTTTTTGAATGAATAGGGTCCAGAAATATGTAAGATTATTAGGTGTAAAAATACTATAATTAAAATAAATAATGGTAAAATAAAATGAAATGAAAAAAATCGGTTTAAAGTTGAATTATTAATAGAAAATTCCTCAGATTCATTCAACAGTTATTTGACCAATATAAGGTAATACTGATAATAAATTAATAATTACTATGATCAAAATATTTGTCCTCATGGTAAAACATATCCTAAAAATGCAGTAGCTATTGGTAAAAATAAAATTATTCTTCCAATTAATCAAACATTAATTAATTTAAATGAATAACAAAATAAATTTCGTCCAATATGAATATAAATTAATAAAAAATAAAATGATGCTCCATTTATATGAATTATATATATATATATATATATATATATATATATATATATATATATATATATATATCAAACCGTGCAATCTACGAACTACGTACATATGTACGCGCACAAGACGTGTCATTAAATACTAATCGCCGAGAGAATCGGTGGGAAGAACGGAACCACTCGTTTCGTCATGCTGCATCATTTCCCGACGCATAAAGCAACGATCGAAGCAATGAGGAAGCATCGTCGAAAGTGACGGAACACGTCCACCCATTTTACTGTCGCGTTTTCACGTGCGCGACGACAGTGGTCACGGGTGCGAGGAGTTCGAAAGCTGGCGACAAAACCGACCGACAGTGACAGAAAATCTTTTCCTTCGAACGTGCGAGGAATCCAACGATATCTACGCGAGAATCGAGCACGTAAAAGAGATGCGCGGATGAATTAATTGAACGAACTATGTACATATTTCCAAAGGTGATTTTTCAGAAGAAAAAAAAAATCTCTCGTTGTTCGCGACTCAGCAATTCGAATTTTATCGGGATTAAGCGCGACAAATGCTGAAGTGTGATGATTTTTAGATGTAGGTTATTGACAACGAAAGAGAAAGTATGGTTGAATAGGAAACTCGCCGAAACGCCACAGACGAACGCAGAAACCACTGGAGATGTTAATTAGGAAGAACGAACATCACTCAATTTTAAATTCAAATGCAAATTGCGAGAAACACTCGCTTTGGATTTTCTGCGACGCAAGTTGCTGCGCTGTTGTATTATTTGGTGTGTAATCACTAAACTGTGTGCGTTTGTCGGTGTAATGGAAATAAAATTTTTACAAACAAATTTAGTAACATTCATAAATCTAATGGTAACATTATGCAGATAACAGTTACAAATACGCACGCATAACAATACGTGTTAATGCGATAGTGGACCGAGAATAATTTGTAGAACCATCTCACCCGTGTTTACTCTTTTTTCTGTGTTTATAGAGTAAAAGTATGAATCACCATCCTATACCGAGATTAAAATCCATCAGAATTCTACTATGTATCAGCTGATGGCTATAGCTCCATGTTCCATGATCGTTACTTGCAATTTCGATATACATGCTTTGATCGCAAGCGATACACGGAATTCGTGGATAATTCGCGAAGGAATGAAATGTGTGGTGAAACTGCGAACAAGGACGAACAGAGAAACTCGTGCACGTATCAATGAGGCATGTACGCGTACATCACGCAGGTGTAACACGTCGCCCGAAGCACCACGGAATATCGTGCGAATTTTCACGAAACAGGTGGCAACAGCGCGCAGGCCCAACACACATACGTACGCACACACACGCAGGGAGACGGGAACGAGGAACGAAGAAAAAAGAATGAGCGCACGCGTTCGATCAGCCAGCCAGTATGATAGGAAACGGTACAAAGGCATTGGAAAAGGAGCAAAGGCACGTTTCGGTTAGAAAGCACGAAAGTAAAGGGGAAACGCATGCAGAACCGAAGTGAGAGAAAAAAAAAACCGAAAGGAACGTACCTTAGGCCTGTAGAACCATTTTCTGATCGACTCCATCGCGGGGCTGTCGAGGATGTCGGCAGGCTCACGGCCGAGTCGTCACTGCGCCTCTTGCGGCCAAAGCACTTGCGTCATAGCGAAACGTGCCACTGCGATCTTACCAGAAACCGTCGCACCACGAGACACCAGTCGACCGCATACGAATTGTGGTGTTCTCTCGTCGGATATCACCATTAAACATACGATCATCGACGGGTTCAATCGGTCCACGCATTCGAAACTGCGCGTCAAAACGTGAATCGCGCGTCCGTACGACTGACTGGCCGAGCACCGACTGCAAAGGCGCAGCTCACTGTTGCGCATGCGCTCGTTGAACATTATGGAGGGTGTGACGTCATTCCCAATGAGAGCGGCATCTACGCCGCTATTTGAATTCGTATACTCGATGGACGATTTTCTTTTTCAAGTTAAAAAAAAGAATTAAAATGCTGTTGTAACAACTCAACGCGAGTCTAATATTTTATTACTTAATAATGATGCTTTTGTTTATTTCAGATGCAAATGTTGATTTACAGTTCGATTTTGAAACTAATTAAATATCCTTAAGAAAGTCTCTGTAAATGAGTTGGAATTTAATTTATTTCGATCAAATTAAATATAGAGAAATTGTATAAAAAGTTTTAAATTACTATATGTATTTAATAATTACAAATATATATAGTAGAATATTTTTGTCTAGCTTAATATTCAAACTGCGATAAAATTAGGTGGTTAAAATATTCAACGGGGAAATTTATTTTTATCTATTTAATATTTTTAAATTTTAAAAGAAAAATAATCTGTATTTGAGAGAAGCTATTGGGTTGTAAAATAAAATTACCAGCGATACATAGAAGGAATTTAATAATATTATCTTGAAATTTAACACATTTTGATCTACGTGACTAGATTATTAAAAAAAAGCAATTAAAAATGTATTACTTTAACAATGATAAATATTATGGATCACAAATTATGCACATATACATACGTAAGTTTCATATTTTAAGTATACATTTGGATTTAGAACTACAAAATAGATTCCAACAAATGTACTTAATATTAAAAAAAACTGTCTAAGCCTCGATTTAATAAAATAATAAAAATAACGCGGTGAGCTCTACTATACAAGTATGGATCACATAATCTATAACTTAAAATGAATTGCAATATAATGTTATACAAATTCCTTCGATTGTGTTAACAAGACGTCAATACAGGAAACATAATTCTATTGAAAAAGTAATAGAAACTTATGCTATCATTTTACTTCTTGAGATTCACATATATATGTGCAAAGAAGTGGAATGTACACCGTAAGTAGTAAATTTTTAAACATCTAAGAAACGAATTGAAACACAAATAAATTTCGAACATACTTAAACGAACATTTTTTTCCATAATTTGATGAGCTTAGACCTTAAATAGAGTAGAAATAGAACACACCTTGTGCTTATATTCTCAAGAAGTAACATACAGTGTTAATTTAATTAGTTTGCTTAAAACTTTTTGAAAATAACATGTCGAGGATATTCAACACTATACTCTCTACGTCCTACAATAACTAATTTGCAACTACATTTAAAAGTTTTATTTTTCAAACATTTTATAAGATTATTAACCAAGATGCGAGTCGTTACAACTAACAAAAATATATTATGAATTCTATTTTTTTTTCTTTTTTTTATTACAAGGCAAGAATTTTAATTTTGGGAATAAAAACTTTCAGGTAATTAAATACCACCAAACATCGTTAATATACATACATGAAACAGTGCTTTAGCTCAAAAAGTTATAAGCAAAATGCTTCTTGTAAGCATACGTACTCTATGCTCGATTTTTGTGCAATAACACTTTTACCCAGCGGCTGCCAGTGCAGCCCTCCTGTTTTCGATTATACACATTCTTTATAATATTTATCTCAAAAACCGTTAGGTAAATAACTGTAGTAAATACTGGTTACGTAACTACGGAAACATCTAATATTTGATACAAGCATCACTTTACATTTGCTTGAAAAAATGCAAGACTTTACTAGACGGGTAGTAATATCAACTCTTTTTATTTTTCCCTGTTTTAAATGCAATGCGCTACCACGTTTCACTTACGATCTATGCAAACTCACTACGTATCTAAGACATCTATATCACTTGAAATGAGAGTAGTTGAGTAACTTCTTGTTGTATTATATTACACAACATCCTTCTCTTTCCTTTTTTGCTTCCTGTTGAAATGTTCGAATCGCGTGATTAACAATTTTCATTGCAAACATTTAAAGTGGTAATTAATGTATCGTTAATTGATTGCCACACAATATTTAAAATATTTCAAACAGTATGATCTAATAGATATCACCTAAAATAAGAAACATCTAAGTGAATTATTTGTATTATTGCACAGTGAATGTATATCGGAAAATATTTTAAGCGATAAACGAACAATATGTTTCCCTTATTAATTACAGACTTTAGTAATTACGTTGTATTTAATTTAAATTTTCTAAAATATAAGATTTTACCGATTTTTTTTATACTTAAACGATAATATTAAATTTTATAAAACAGACAGGCTTCAATCGAAAACTTCATCAATAAAATATTGAACGTATACGATATATCAAACGATTAGAATACATTTTTTTTTTACTAAAATAAAATTTCGCAACTTTTTCTTTAGGCACAAAGTAGATACTTATAATAAATAAAATACCGATTATATAATAAAATTGATATTTAACTTTTAAAATTTAGATTAATTATATCATATAAACAAGATAAATTTTTCAATCAAATTTACAATTTCCAAAGAGTTACAAGAGTTTTAAAATACGTATATTACATAATTATGAAAATAATTTCGTAACGATCGAACGTAATTTCATTCAACAAGACTTATAGGATATAACATCAACATGAAAATTTTATGAAATTCCTTATATAAATTCCATTGGCGAAAAGTTTTACAGAGAAAAGTCCTTAAAAATTCTGTAAATCACATAGAATTTCTTTTTTTACTTTGTACCAATATTATGTCTACAATGCAGCTCAATACAGATTAATATAACAATCTAGAACCACCAGCAAAAACATTAATGTGATTGAATTAATACTATGGTAATAATAATGCTACTGGAAAAAATACAGCAAGTATTCTCTGCATTGTAAGATAAAAACTCGACCTCTTGATACAACTACGATGTTATCAATTCAATTCCTAACCAGAAAAATCGAACCATATCTTTAGTTAGCATTCAATATCAAATTACTCGAGAAATTATGTTAATGTCAATCAATGTATTCATTGTTAAAATGTGTGGCATGAAAAATAAAAATGTGAGAAAAAAAATCTGTTGTTCTATAAGAAACTAATACAAATGTCGATTATTCGCGAACGTTTTCACGAGAAAAGCAATAACAATCAAATTTGGCAACGACTAATTTACTTAATTAAATTAGAGACAGAACAGTGCAATAAACTCCATACTTTTTATATATAACATCCTTGACCGACAAACCACAAAGTTACAAGGAAAACGCTAAAAATACTCAGCTGATTCGTATCAGAACATAAACTCGTCATAAAAATAGAACTAACATACAGCAATAAAGTGATCCGCTAAAAACAAAACTATTCAAACAAGCAAAAGGATACTACACATATGAAAATAATCGACAACTCTAGATTCTGTATATGTACAAATTTTGTCAAAAACACATCAGTAAAAACAGAATGTTACACTAAGAAGTTTCAATGACAATTTAAAACTGCAACGCAAATGCATAACAAGTTGTATAAGTAGATGGCACATATGCTTATAAAGTAAAAGGAAAAAGAGAAAGATAAATTAACAGGCTACACGCTGTAGCATTGGTAATTGAAGAAAAGAAAAGCAGGGGGAAAAATACTCGCTTGCATTCATGCTGTTTTCCAGCCAACTCAAAGCAAAGATTTCTGTAACAGGTAGAGAAATGAATCGTTGGCAAGATGAGAAAACTCTACTTTCGTTGACTTGAATGCACGTTACTAAGACTGGAGAATCGATTGTCCTCTTTCTAAACGCGTTGCTTAACTAAATCCAAACTGCACTTTTCGGCACTGACAGAGCCATTTAATTATTCGAGCGTTACGCTCGACGATGCTCGGTGGATCGTTGACCCTCTGGTTAGAGTCGTCGTTACCCATACCGACGCTGCAATCATTGTTCTGCCACTGACTACTCTGATTCGTTTGGTTGTTCCCAGCCCACGAGTAAAGACCTAACGCCGAATCGACGGAGCTAACGCTATCGAAAAATACAGGAGACGACGATTTCGAGTCCGGTTTTGTAATACGTTGATAATTTTCCGAATCGAGACCTAAACAGTCAAAGAAGTTCTCGAGTTGGGTGATCGACCGTGGGGGTCGTGCAGGTACTTTATTGGATCGACCATTATCCTGACGCCAATAGCGATCGCTAATATCCGATTTCGATCTCAGAATTGGTCTGCCGCGACCTTCTTTCCAGCCATCGGAAAACCTAATACAGAAATGCAAATTTTTATTATTGTTTATTACGTCTGGTGAGAAAGAAAGCAAACTTTTCAGCACCTGAACGCATGATTCAACGATGATTTTTTTGTTACCACTATTTATCACAATGTAACAAATTTTTGCACCTGAATTATTTATAATGACATTTACTATACTATACATCTTGTTTGTACTATCAAAAAACTGTCAAATAAAATCGTCAAATAAAATCTTGTAAACAAATTCATACTTTTTCTTGCCTCTGAATGCACGCACATAACAAATTTGTCTACATTTGACAAATGCACGTACCTTGAGTTACACGTCGGACTATAATCTGTTTGACTGTTGCTGCTCTCAGAATCAGGACTGTAGCGTCTTACAACAGATGGTGGGGTACCGTTAGCGTAACTACCTCTTCTTGAACGATCTTTTTCCGTCGAGTGTTGAGTAGATGCACCGCTGTCCCGACGTATATGACTCCAGCAATCCTGAAACGAAATATTTCACTCGGTGAGTATAGCGGTTTCCATTTAACGTTACGAGACGTTCTTTTAAGTTTCGATTACTTGTATCACTGGCGGAGGCTCGCTACGAGGTGTACAGTGTCCAGACGATCCTCCGGAATCTCTCGCTGTAGCTCCGTGACTTAACTTGCTGGAGCCTGACGATTTTTGCGTTCGACCGCCGGCAGACAACACGCTACTCGCATCGCCACCACCTGAACCTAACGAACGTCTGATGTGTCTAGAACTGGAATAGTAACAACTTACATGAGAGTAATAATTTTACGTTTTACAAGCATGAGACGCACTATGCGAAATATTTTTCATCAAATTTAATATAAAACTCTGATATTTCAAACATTCATATTATAATGATACTCGACTATCATAAATGATATTCAAATTTCTTATGGTTTAAAACTTTAGATGCTATTTTTGATCCTTAGTTCAGGAAGAATGAATTTTCCTCATGACAATATTGAAATTAAATAACATTTCAATCCAGGAAAATGTTTAAGATAAGGGAAACAATAAATTATCAGACTAAATGCTTATGTAATGTTACAAGTAAACTGTGAATTCTTGTACACACGATTATTGTGAAATACTTAAAATATAATACAATGACCAACTAAATATTAATAAATGTTATATTAGTTGCGAATTTTTATGCAGATTTATATTTTTATGAATACAATTAAGAAAATTTGTTTCACTCACAAGTAATATATTTTTTATATTTCTAGATACCATGTGTATTCTGTGCATCATTAAATTTTAAATTCAATATAAAAGTCTGCAGTCTAATTAGAAATGAATATATATTTCCATCAAATATCATAAATCCCTCCCAAAAGCACTACATTTCCGGGGGAAAAACAAGTGTTTCAAACTTAGAGCTTATAATTATAACTACCGGGACACACGTGTAAAAATGTTTTCAATACCTGCGATAACAGACTGCATCTCGTTTGAAACTGTGCTCTGAATAGTCCGAACTAGTTTCACAATCCGGGCAATTGCTCGACGATTGATGATGACCGGATGGCTTAGATGACTTGGTCGATGCACGTGGCGACAGGGACGCTCGTCGTCGCGTGCTAGTATGGAGGTCGGGCAAAGATTTGTGACACACGGTGTTCTCCACCGATTGCGAGCTGGTCGATTTCCTTCCAGATCTTCCGGATGTATGCGAATGCGAATTGCTACGGCCAAATTTGAAGCGAACATCTTGCGTGCAATGCTGGAAAAATAATAAAAATCGAATTTAATATCGACCTACGATATGTAATTTAAACACGAAGAATTTACTATATATATATATATATTATCGTCTAAAATTTTGGGATCATTTTGCAATTGTTACTCGAAAATTTTGAATCATTTGATATCTTACTGGTTAAAATTTATGTGAATATTTGTACATTTAATTGACATGTAATTTAGTTTTTAAATTACAGAGCTAAAGCTATCATAGAATATTACGACACGATGAAATTTAGTTTCAGATGTGTAACAGAATAATTTTACACAGAAATCGGAATAATTTTACACAGTTTAGTTTAGTGCGTGAGGTATTCTGTATATCATGTGTCAAAATTATATGCATAAATTATCATGAATAATTAACAAACAACGGTTGAGCTATGATGGTGTACAGATTATCTATTGTACTGTGCAAGAAATAAAATACTATTAATCAAGAAAGAAATTTTCTACTAATTCTCCCCTTTTGAGCACAGAATCTTAAATATCGTTAAAAAATATCTTTTCGAATTAAACGAACAATCAAATTCTAAAAGATCAATCAGTTTAATTTCATCCCAAATTTTTGGACGTCACATCGACGGGAAGATGGCGATTGATAGCTTTCAAACGTAAAGGGAATTAATTAAAATGACTCGGTACAAGTCCCGTACCAGTTTCACGACTGTTTGATCGTTCATGCTGTGCACGCGTTTAATAAAACAGTGGAGGAATATATCTTCCGTGTTAAACTCGCGAACACGCGTATGTACAACTTCCGGTTCCTAACTCCGTTTCCTCTCTCCGGCGCTTCCACAATTACAATTCATCACGAGGAGACGTGCATACGTGTTCATGGACAAAACGTACGAAGGATAATAATACTACATATCGACGATGAATTAACAAGTATTACACGAAACATTTAAAATACACTATCGTTAAAAACTTTCAAGTTATTCGTCATTTTATTCTCCCAAGAAATATTATATAAGAGTAAACTTCATTTACAGAGTTAATTATTAGACAAACTTAATTATTAGACTGTAGTTGTTAGTAATTAACATGGATTTTTATGTAGTTAACAGAAGTTTAGAGACGTGAGAATATATTTACAATGTACAGAAATATGTAAAACATCCAAAGTATAGTATATTCTTTACGATATTTCTATTCTAGTTGTATTCATAAAAATATAAATTTCAAATAAATTTGAAGTATGGGATAGAAATCTGCAATTATACAAGGTAGATTTGAATTCGTAATAATATAAGAAAAATTCCACGGCTCATAATAAGATGAAAATAAAGAATGGTGGGATTTTTACAAGTATTTTTTAGTTTGATTTTATATTTAGATTGCAGAGTTTTATGCAAAATAATTATATTATAATTTAACAAATGGTATTTTTATAAATATAATTTAACAGAAAATAAAAACTTGTTTCATCCATTGTACGTGTATTATAATAAATACTATACTTTTGTTTTACTATATTTTTGTACACATTGTTACTACATTTTTACAATTTTTCATTGACTATAAATGCACATTTGATTTACTAAAAATTCACATCGTTATTCATATCTTTCCAATACTTTATAAAACAATAATGTAATCTGACATCAGACATAACGAGAATCGTGTTAATAAATTCCAAATTTTTTAACGACAGTGTATACACACACAAAAAAAAATATACGACATTAAAAAAAAACACGATAAAATTATTAGTAGCCCACAAAAGAATCGGAATATTAAATCACAATGAAACATTTCGAACGGAAGTAAAGGTGAAAACTAAATCACGACTCACGTTGATCTTCTTTCGAACACGAACTATATGTACAACACCAAGCTAAAAACACATATGCAGATTATATGACTGTAATTAATCAGCAATATTTTATTTTGCAAAAATGAAAAAAGCTGAAAAACGAAAGAAACTGTGAAATTAGTATACAGTGGAGTATACAGTAAAACGAGTGAATTCTTCATCAATACATTCAAACAGTTATAACAATCATAACAGAGATCATAACATGAGATCATAACAAACGAATAATCTAATAAAATAATTATAATTACTATCAATATACTCACTATTATATAAATTATTAATTCTGACACTTGCACACTTGTTTCATAATTTTAATCTAAATTATAAAGGCACATCTCCAGAAACATATGTTTTATGAAGTCGAAAACGAACTACCACCGCAAGAGACTGAGATATCTAAATTACGTGATATCCATTTTTCAAAATACTCCACTGTATTTCTAAGATTTGCACCAATTTGTACGACGAGATTTCACCTTTACACGATCATCCTCGCGAAAATTGGGCGACAGACTTCCAGGAGAATATCGGAATTTCTCCTCCTGCGGAATACCGTTCGTCTGAACGATCGTCTGCGTCGGACTGTCCGGGAAGAAGACGTTCTCCTTGCTATCGGTGTTCAACAACCGTCGTAATTTCGTCTGCAGTTGATCTCCACCGGTGCTGCTCGGCGGCCCCGAAATCGTGCGCCGCTGCGGAACAGGAACCAAACGCGGACTCTTCGGTGGCAGTGCGGGTGGCAGTGTTTGTTGAGGACTCAGAATTCCGTCCGCTGTTGAACACAAGTGAAAACACACAAGATATTACATTCTCCAAAAAAAATTTCAATTTCACTTTTAACACCGGAATAATTTTATTTTTAATATTATCTTTGATCAGAACTGACCTGAATCTGACCAAGAAACCAAATCTAACCAATTCGACCAAAAGAGTTCGTGCGGTTTCGCAGAATTGGGGATTCACAAGCATGCACAAAAACTTTCATAAAACAGCTTCACATTCTCACAATCTACCGTCTTTCGAAAATACACAGAGTTCAATATTCTTCCGAGACAACAGCGAGTTGTATTCTACGATATTTTAATTACAAAGGAGCCGGGGAAAGATTATGACGAGATTATCTGGATTGTAACTTTCGAAGCTATCGGAAACGAAAATTGGACGTGAGGGGATCAGATGTAACAGAGACACGAGGAAAAGTCGCGGGGAAACGTTTACCAAAGTACGGCACAAGTATCCCCTATAAACAGCAAAGCCAAACTCGTTACCAATTCTCATCCACATCGGTGCTACCGCATCCGTGCCATGAAGAGCGAAGGAAGCTTTCGAAAGTACTCAGACAACCACTTACGGCTATCTCGTCGATGGCAAGTTGCCCGGCAATGAAACGAGGAAGCGTATATAATACTGGTATCTGTAGGAGAGCGCGTTCGACTGGTTAAATGGCCGTGGCGCGTTAAATCGATTCCGGTGGTCGAAAACGTGCGGGTAGACGGATGTGTACTACTCTGTTCAAAGACAAGTTCCAGGACAAGTGAAACGAAACAAATAATTACCGTTTTTAATTACCATTAATTTCTATTTTTGAAACTCTGAAAGTAATCTCCGATTGCTCGCTCGCGCCAACTTTTATCCTTGAAACATTATTTCATTCAACCTTCCGAGCGATTAGGATTATCAAATCACGCGTGACAGTGAACGAGGAGCGTTACGTACCATGCATTCAGTTTTCAGTGTTTGGAATATATTAAATACGCGCATGTGTTGGTAAAAGGGGAGCAAATCGAGAGCAAATGTATTCGTCTATCGTTTGATACAGTAAGAGGTTACACTCAGAAAGTTAAGAACTATTCGTTACAATTAATTGTAACGAAAACAAAAATTGTTGCAGTTACAGGTAAATGTTGCGGGCAACCTCCTTTAAGAATTATACCTGTGATAATTCAAAATTCATCTACCAGTAAAAAGTTATAGTTCAGATGTACAAATTGGGAGGGGAAAATTATATATACTGATAAAATTATAATACTGATCATAGCTGATAAAATGGAAATCATCACTCCAAAGTTATCTTCTACAATCATCTATTTTTATGCTTTGTTTGCCAAGTAAATATACTCTAAGATTTATAATACGATTAATAAAGTCCATGGAACTTGGGAATCGCTCTAAATTAACAGAAAACTGTTCCAGTCCGTTTGGTACCAAATTCACCTCCAAAATGAAAGGACTAAGAAACAGATTGCTCGACTGGAAAATTTCGTCACAACACGATTTTATCAGTCGATGTTTCAAAAGATTTTTCGATTTTTCGAACCGAAAATCCGTCTCGTCTCCTCTCGTCTGAAATTTCATTGAACAGGATGGTAGACGCTTATTTCCAAGAGACTTACGCCTGTCCTGTTCGTGGCACGATGCCCAACAACAAGGTGGCGTCATCGGAGCAGGTGGCAGCTGCGACGGCGACGTCGGTTGCATCGAACAGGTCGGCGTGTTCCCGCATTTTCTCAGCAGCCTGGGTGGCGCGCTTGGCGCGCTCAGCTGCGAGACCTGAAGATGACCGCTGTTCTTCAGCTCCTGTTTCCGGTCCAGCACGGTCTCGCTCTTCACGTAGAACGCCTTCGTCTCCTGCAGCAGTTCCACAGCGCTCTTCCGCTTCCCTGCGGCACGTGACGAGGAAACCAGACGGCTGTAAGTGACACTCGAGTAAAAACGGTAAATAGCCCGCTTCCTGTAAACGGATACCAAGACAAGCCAGATAACCCGCTCGACAGGGTTAAGCCACGTGCGCCGGCACGAGCCTCTTTCCAACTAAATCCTTGTCCTTGCTCAGAGCAAATTGTCCAAGGTTCGGACCAAGGGGAACAAGGACGAGGCGTTTCTCGAGGAGATATTTCCAGTAAAAAAATATATAGTATAATATATAAATAAATAATAATACAATATATAATATAATATATAAATAAATAATAATACAATATATAATATATTGTTAATTATATATTATTATAGTATATATAAATATTATATATTGTATTTTTTATATAGTATATATAAATAGTAAAAATAGCAAAAAATAGTAAAAAATTTTATATAGTATATATAAATATTATTATTATAGTATATATAAATATTATATATTATATTTTTTTATATAGTATATATAAATAGTAAAAATAGCAAAAAATAGTAAAAAATTTTATCCAGTATATATAAATATTATATATTATATTTTTTTATATAGCATATATAAATAGTAAAAAATAATAAAAAATTTTATATAGTATATATAAATATTATATATTATATTTTTTATATAGTATATATAAATAGTAAAAATAGCAAAAAATAGTAAAAAATTTTATATAGTATATTATAATTATATATAAATATATTTATATATTATTTATTATATATTAATAATAAATATAATATTGTATGTATATATTAATAGTATATATAATAATATATAAATATATGGTATAATGTAATATAATACATATAATAATTTTACACAATAAGGATATTTGAGAATCGAGGAGAAATTTGAAACTAATAACTAATAATCGCGTCATCGACAGATTGAACGCGTCTCGAGAAACGTAGCTCCGTGTTATAATATTTTAGAAATACCTCCTCTCAGCGCGATTGAAAATTAATTTTAAGAGTGAAAGTTATGCTAACGACATTGGGAACGATTAAGAACGGAACGAATTCACTTTGCGCGGTTTAGAGATAATTTCATCGGGTGACTCTCTCGATAACTATAAATTCGAATTCCCCTATTCCCTCTCCTCGACCCGCCGCGTAAAAATGGTTACTAGTGGTAAGAGGATTACTGGATCGGATAATGATGATAGTGATGCATGTACACTGCTGCTTGGTACATTGCCAATCTTTCGAGTGTAACTATTGTTATCATCGCACGACTTGATAGGCGACATCAATTTCGTCAATGATTTCCGAGAGAGTGCGAACTCCACTTTAACCTTTAACGTTCAAAAATAGATTTGTGGACTTTCTTTTTCGTAGACAATAACCAAATTGAGAGTACAAAATTTTTTTCGTGTATGCTCTCGTTCAAAATATGGAATCAAACCTCTTTCGCTTTTTAAACGAAACAGAGATCTTTTCATACATTCTTCTGGGAAATAATTTCACGCAAATGTAAAAAAAATTATTTAACATTACTATTATTATTTTGGTATATTATTATATTATTTTTATATAAGTATATTATTATTTCATTATACTTATATTATATTAGTGTTAATAATGTATATTATAGTAAATTTATTTTAACTATTACTTATTATTTAATAATTACATTTAATAAGAATACACGTAGCTGCAATGATTGAAATAAATAGTTATTCGTAGAAGTTTGAGAATAAATTTTAAATTATGAAGTAGACAATTAATTTCAATTTCCAAGTGTATTAAAATTAGACGTTCATATTGAATATCTATAGTTAAATAAATTTATTAAATAGAGTGTTATTATTACATAAATTCAGTAACAGTGTGTTATAACTTTCTGTTTGTTCTTTCTTGCCCTGCTTTCGCGAGTATTCGCGACGAAAATGGCTCTTGAACAAAGTCCGAAGAGTACGCGCAATTCCAGTTTAATTAGTCAGTTTTAGTGGCAATTTATTGTAAGAGGAGCATCATTAGTGGAAGTAACAAAGACGGAGTTTGAGAAATCTAGAACTAACCTAACAGTAGAAAATACATAAACAGTAGAAATACACACAAGTTAACTAAAAATTATAGCGTGTTAACGTAACGAAGCAACAGCGTAAACTTGACGTACACACTACGACTGAAATCGTAGGGAAACATTTCACTTGCGAAACGAAGTGTAATACCTATTTCAAAAAACCGTGCAAAATGTTATGAATAAAGATAGGTTCGTCGATAGTTTCACTTTAGCATAATTTCCGGGTAGCCACAAGCGTATCCGGTTGTGGCAGCGACTCACCGGAAACGACGAATAGAAAATACAATTGAACCGGTCGTTTCGGAAATGATACGAATAAACATACTTTATGCAAAATTTTATATATTATCCGACGTATAATAAACGTAACGCAAAATGCAGAGGAAGTAAATAACATATGTATGGAAATATAGAGCAATCTGAAATATATATAGAGTATTTCCACGAGCTGTTTATACAATTCGAAAAGAAACGATCGATCATGCCACGAAACAGAGAGACGTCAAACGAAAGTGACGAAACAGGTCAGCGACAACATACTCGGAAAACAAACAAAGTATTAATGGAATCGAGAATTCTGTTTTCAAAGAATTGCTCGGCGATAATCTATTTTTCACGCTGAATCATCGTGTATCATTATCTAGATGAGATACCTCGTCTATGTCAGAGGTTAAGGTATCCTGAATACTTCATCATCATCAATGGTCGTTTTGTGATTATATCCTCTCACTTATTGAGTCTTCAACCAATAAGTATCAAGTGTATCCATCCAGCCTTCTCTCTCTCTCTCTCTCTCTCTTTCTCTAGATTCTTAAGCGCTGGTTTCTAGATTCTTAGGCACTGATTTCTAAATTTTTAGTTGCTGGTTTTTAGATTCTTTGGTGTTGGTTTCTAGAGTCTTTAGTGCTGGTTTCTAGATTCTTAATTGCTGGTTTCTAGATTCTTAGTTGCTGATTTCTAGATTCTTAGTTGCTGGTTTCTAGATTCTTAGTTGCTGGTTTCTAGATTCTTAATTGCCGGTTTCTAGATTCTTAGTTGCCGATTTCTAGATTCTTAGTTGCCGGTTTCTAGATTCTTTGGTGCTGGTTTCTAGATTCTTAGGTGCTGATTTCTAGATTCTTAGACGCTAGTTTCTAGATTCTTAGTTGCCGGTTTCTAGATTCTTAGTTGCCGGTTTCTAGATTCTTTGGTGCTGATTTCTAGATTCTTAGACGCTAGTTTCTAGATTCTTAATTGCTGGTTTCTAGATTCTTAGTTGCCGGTTTCTAGATTCTTAGGTGCTGATTTCTAGATTCTTAGACGCTAGTTTCTAGATTTTTAATTGCTGGTTTCTAGATTCTTAGTCGCTGGTTTCTAGATTCTTAGTTTCTCTCTTTCTCTCTCTCTCTCTCTCTCTCTCTATCTATCTATCTATCTATCTATCTATCTATCTATCTATCTCTCTATCTCTATCTATCTCTATCTCTATCTCTATCTCTCTCTATCTATCTATCTATCTATTTATCTATCTATCTATCTATCTCTATCTCTAGCTCGTCTTAATCTTCGACCATTAATTCTTAATTTTATACATTCACATTAAATTCAACGTGAATTGTGTTTCACACTGCAACTGTAGAAATATCTGAATACTTAAGCCAATAGTAACGTGTCGTCTTAGGAGTGAAAAGTAATTCCCCTCCTCGTATATCAAACGTTAAACGTCCCTCGCAGATTAATCCTTTTGTATCTATGAACCAGATATCGAATTCATATTGTCTAAAGCCAGATGAACTGCTGCAGCTGTTGTGAACTGAGTGATCCGTATGTGTAACGATGTCTATAGATGTGTGAAAAATTCACAGGCATTCCGACTGGCTCAAAGTTTTCCAACGGCGTTACGCCAATGGCAATGCAATAACGACGCACGTGTACGCACTTTGCACGCGTGCTCGTGTTAAAATGCCTCGTTGAAGAGGACAATGAGATGGCAGGCTCGAGGTTCAACGACAAGCAGTCCAACATCTGCGGTTTCCCCTGTTTTCGCGTGCCACGCACGCTGATGATTGATGACATGCGTCTGACATGCCTGAGGGAGCTGATACTCTCGCCTCGAAACAATCAACGATTCGATGACGAAATGAGCCTGGCCAAAAGAGAAGGAGGCCGAATCGATTGGCCGAATTGTCCCGTGTCAATTTAAATTCAGCATCGTTTATTGATACAGAGACAGTCGCATCGGAATTTACTTTTCAATTTGCAATTGCGATAATGAAACATAAATAGACGCGAATTTATAGACTTGATACATTAATTGCTGCATCGGGGACATTTTTGGAAAATTGTTTTGATACTTTTTCAATGTGTTTCAAACTAATTTCGATTCTAATTTTCGCTGCTATATTGTAATGAACGATATTTAGTTTAATGTCTCTTATATCGCAGCTCGAAATAGATTGCTTTAATATTATGAAATTGTGAAATTGAGTTTTGATGCTCTGACACGAGACAGATCGACAGGTTGGGGAGAATCATTTGTCGTCTGTTGCCGAAAAGAGATTGTACGTACTTTCAGAGCAAGATGAATTTTGTGAATGAAGATTTAATGTAGGAAGATATTCATCTGTGTCTTCGTGTAACATTTATACAATACAGTAGATTGCACGATTACAAAAGGGGATCATTCGAGGGACATTTCTGTCAAAAAATTTATTCTCAAAACGATAGCAAGAATTTGGAACAGTATTTATAATATCCTGCATTTGCTAAAATAATAAATCCAATGACAAATCAATGCATTTCCTCATGAGAAAAGTAGAGTTCAATTCTTCGAAAATCAAACTGCATGCATCGTTAACAACAGAAATGAATATTGTTACAACATCACGTTGATTTGTCAATTGCTTTGATTAAGTCAAAAATGGACGTTTGAACATCTCGGTTGATTACGTGCATTGAACT